GTAGTAGTAGTAGTAGTAGTAGTAGTAGTAGTAGTAGTAGTAGTAGTAGTAGTTATCATTATTATTAGGCTATTGTTGTCATTATTGTTATTATTATTATCATCATCATTATTATTCTTAACGAGAAGTAACACATACCTCCCAGATATTCTGACGTGGTGTGTCCTCTATGAGCGTGAAGAAACAGCCGTTGATGGTAGGATGGTAAGATGGTAACTATAAGTTGAAACTGCAAGAAATGTTGGTGCTGCCTGCTGTTGGGAGGGCCTGCTGCAGAATGTCCGGGCTAGCTCACTCTTGGTCTCCTTAGTAATTGCCTCCCAGCATTCCTACCTGTTGATGACGTAGGAAGCTGCCAGGGAAACTGGATCGAAGAATCGATCGAGATCGATCAATGGTTGTTGGCAGCGGACCAAACTCATCAATAAGGAAACAACACCACGTAGTACAGCTCCCGCTAGAGACGTAGAAAGAGGCTATCATAGTGAGGCATCGTGGGGAAATCAGGCGCTCGTCAAATCAATGAAATCGAAGAAATTAACATTTTTCTGTCCGTTTAGCAATTTTTTTTCGATTTTGAAAGAGTGTTTTTTAAATATTTTTACTCAACACCTTTTAGGTCAATTTAAAAACACATTTCTGTGCGGATTTCACTAAAACAAAATATTGATTTAAGGCACAACAAATGTAAATTTGCAGTTTCCAAGAACTCTCAAGCTTTGGAAGTCGCTAAAGTTTAGAGGCCATTTTCTCGCTAACTTTACATCTTAATTAAACCAGGCGACCCCCACTTTCTTCAATCGTTAATATCTCAACTTCTATTCTTGATAGATGAGTATTTCTTTCACCAAAAACAAGACAATTAAACAAACTGTACAGTGATACTAATAACTCCACATGTAGAAAAAACTGACGAGCGCCTGATTCCACCGTGACGTGACACATTTAAAGATCTGCGCTGCTCTTTGATCTCCCCACTCGTACTTTTGCCGACACCCTACACACCGCGCGCACCTTTGCTGGTTAATGGGAGTGCCAGTGTGTCTGTCAGTTGAGTCGATTTTGCTTACCTGATTGTTTTCTCATTTGGTCTCTTTTTCTTTCT